GGTATTGGGACAGTAAAGTCAAGCAATTCAGACTTGAGACAAAAAGATGAATATTAAGCAAAAGTATATAATCTTACCTTTTATAACATAACAATTTCTTGCATTAGGAATTTGTCTTTCCGCATACCCCAGCTTGCTCTCCATGAGACACACAGAGACACAAATAGGGAGAGAGCATGGGGTCAGAGTGCAGGGTCAGCCATTGTACAGCCCCCCTGGAGCAGGTGGGGTTAAGGGCCTTGCTCAGGGGCACAATGGTGTAGGATTCCTCTGCCGGCTGCGGAATTTGAACCGGCAACCTTCCAGCTACAGGCGCATTTCCTTAGCCTTAGTAAACTAAAGTAATATAAAACTTAGTATTGCATGCAATAACTGCATCAAGCCTATGACCCACTGACAACACCAAACTCTTGGTTTGTTCTTTTGAGATACTTTGCAAAGCAGTTGCTGTTTCCTTTGCAGGTTTTCTGATTCAGTGTCATTTTAAGCAAATGAAATGCATGCTTGATTGGATTTAAATAAAAAGATTGACTTTTTTTTCTTTTTTACCTTAATTAACTCTGCCCCAATAGTTATGGATGGCACTATACTGTATATGGATTTTTTGTCCTTCAAAATATCTTGTAAGAATATACTTTGGATATCAAAACAAAAATTCTGCTGAACTATCATAATAATCTGTAAGCCTTAATTGAAATTTTAATTATTGATTAGTATCCAAAGTAATGTTGGCCATGGTAATGATGTGGTAATGTTGCATTGAATGCTTATTCTTTATACTATTCCATATGATAGTAAGAGTTTATCATGTGATGCACATACAGTATCCCTTGTGTTTGATATCACCATTTCAATAGTTTTGGTACAATTCGCCTGGCTGTGAAAATGACAGTCCTGACCAAAACACAAGAACTGTCAGAACCATCAAAAAGGAAACAAGGAGACTCAAAATACCAATGTAGATTTTTCATCATTATGTAATTTTGCAGGAACACATGATTGAGAATGTGTGCTAGAGTGGAATAGGTTTGGAAATGTTTCGGTGGAGGAAGTTGAAGGGACAAGGCCTATTTTTACACTTACAATTAGGTGTTATTAAAGATTTCTCATAATCCTTGTGCTGCCTTGACCAAGCAGCCTGGTGGCACTGTGTGCAAGGGTACATGAATGTGGGTAAGGGGCCTCTCTGATATGAGATATCATAAAGCTATATAAAAGCTAAACAGTGTAATGACCTATAGTCCAAATGAACTCTATCAAGTTGTAGTCTGTTTTTTTTCTCAAAACCATGTGTCCAAAGGTCCCTGGTCATCACCCAAAGGAAGATCCACCAATGAGTTATCAGTAGGATGGGTAAGACCTGAGCATTTCAGCCAATCGCCAACTTTTGATATTGTACCTTAAAAGAAGACCCCAACTCATTTTCATTGTTTGCTGTAATTCACTGGTTCCTTTCCAATGTGACTGCAAGCAGTTCAAGTCACGACTTACTTTCTCCACAACACCAGGCAGGGAGCCTACAGTAAAGTACAGAATTATTTCCAAAATGTTGTTTCTGAAACAGAAGATATCTTGTTTTTGAGAATCTATTGTTATTTCGTCCGACCAAAGAAATAAGAAAAGAGTTGGACCCTTTCTGTAAGATTACAATTCGAACTCCTCCCAGACATTTCAGTGTTTAATAATACTATTTTTGTTCTATTCCCAGGTTCATTAAATGTTAGATTTTACCATAAGAAAAATAAATATTAAAACTGAGGAACAGTCTTCCAAAATAACTTTTAATAATAATGCTTACAGTTTGGATTATCATTTACACATATTGCCAGATGTTTTTCAATTGATGAAAGTGATAATTATAATATTATTATCTGTTTTTTCAAAGCCAGGTTTTATACACTAGATTTATGTTTTGCATAATGGCTATTAACTTGAACACGACCATTCAAGATATAGTGTATAAGATTTTAAAGTGTAAATTACCCATGTAATTCATATAGTATAGAAGTTTATCTATGAAGATTCACTCTCTGAGCTTTTTGGCAAACTACTGTAAGTCATCCTTGTAGACTTTTTGCTATTGAGTCATTTTTCCAGTATGTAAAAACAATTTCTACAATTTTCAAACCTAAAAACAATTGTGTCAATATGTAAAATAAAAGAAAATGTCATGCTTTTAGATAAAGTCTAGAAAATAACTGAACAACACAGCTAAACTTGTGCAAAGATGAATCTGATACAGAGTCCAGATATCATGTGTGGCACATCATTCATTATTACAGTGCTGTTTTATAAGCCCTTTAAGAGCTTTCCCATGATTATCACCACGTGTCTTAAATTATTTTTCCAAGATTTTTCAAGAGTTTATGATTTCTGCATGAGATTTTATGGCAAGGTACTAATAAAACTGTAAAACATTATATGATGGTCACAGTGAAAGTGCAACTGCCAACATTACGAGATAACAAGCGAGTTAGCCTGTAAGATCTAAACCTTTTTACTATCATTAGCAATATACTGTAGCTATTGGATAGTAAATGTGTAAAACAGCCAAGGAAACAGCAAGGTGGTGAAAGGTTAGATGGGGTTTGATCAAAAACATTGCAAGGTTGTCACCTAGTGGGTAATATCTAGAACAGAAAATGTATTAGATATATATAAGAACAGCTTTCTGTAAGATTGAAAACACATATCATCAGACACGAGATTTTAAACTCTTGAAAATACATCCAAAAGCACAATAACCAAGAATGTATCTACCATTTCTTTAATTTTACAAAATAGCAGCCTGTAGAACAAATGTTTCTTTTTAAATAAAAGATTCACAAAATTTCTGGATCACACAAGTCATTTTTCATTACTCATGATGAAGTTAGCAATAAAATGCAGGGTAACAAATATCTAGCTGATAATCAAACTACTAGTCATTTGTATTTTTTTTTACTTTATTGTTATAGTTTTTTCAGCAAAATATAATATTAAAAGATGTTCTTAATGTTGTTTTGTGTGTAATACTGAGTAGTCCTTCATCAGTTTCCATACTAATAACTGATATGCTTTTTTGGGATTTTTTTCTCATTTCCCAACAATGATACTGTCAATAATTTTTTGTATAAAATTTTGTTCTAAAACAAGGAAATAAGAATATATATCTGGCTTACTTGAGACTAAATCCTTCGGCAAGAGGATGCCTTGATGGACCACTACATCTTACCTAATAGTAATAATAATAATTCCTTACACTCATATAGCGGTTCTCTGGACAAAGCACTTTACAGGTAATGGGGACTCTCCTCCATTACCACCAATCTGCAGCTTCCACTTGGATGATACGATGACAGCCATAGTGCGCCAGTATGCTCACTAAACATCAGCTATTATGATAATGATAATGTTTCTTTATTAGCCCTATACAATTTCTTGCATTAGGAATTTGTCTTTTCACATACCCCTTTTTCTCTATGGAGACAGACAGGGAGAGAAGCAGAGTGCAGGGTCTGCTGTTGTATGGTGTCCCTGGAGCAGTTAAGGTTAAGGGCCTTGCTCAGGGGCCCAACAGAGTAGGATTCCTCTGCCAGCTGCGGGATTTGAACCAACAACCTTCCAGTCACAGGCACAGATCCTTAGCCACAGAGCCACCGCTCTGCCCGTGTTAGTGGGAAGGAGAACAGTGTGATGAAGCCAATTCATACATGGGGCTTATTAGGTGGCCATGATTGGTAGAGGCCAGTGGGAAATTTGGCCAGAATGCCAGGGTAACACCCCTACTCTTTTTGAGAAACATCCTGGAATATTTAATGACCACAGAGAGTCAGGACCTTGGTTTTAGGTCTCATCTGAAGTACAGCACCATTTTTTATAGTATAGTGTCTCTGGCACTATACTGGGGCATTGGGACCCACACAGATCACAGGGTGAACACCCGCTACTGGCCACACTAACACCTCTTAGTGCAGCATATTTTGCTTTCTCAGGAGCTTACCCATCCAGGTAGTGGCTCGGCTCACACCTGATTAGCTTCAGTGGGTTGCCAATTGTGAGATGCAGAGTTACAGAGTGACATAGCTGCTGGCAGTAAACAGTGTTCCTAAAGGCTTTCCTGGAATTGAATATGTTTAGAACTAATCAAACAGTATTTAATAAATATGTTACTTTACCAGGTCTTTGCGTTCAATGAAAGAGCATATCCTTTAAGATGTCTAATTATATTGCGTTCTCTTGAGGCAACGGCAAAAGATTAGTATCTAGTTAATCAAAATTAAGTATCTAGTTAACATGTATGCCACATACAGTATATGTCTAAATAGAATAATTATCTATTCTTATATTGCCAACATTACAATGTCTATTTATATGCAACTATAGAAGGCCCAACTACCACATTTTAATAATAATAATAATAATAATAATAATAATTGCTTACACTTATATAGCGCTTTTCTGGACACTCCACTCAAAGCGCTTTACAGGTAATGGGGACTCCCCTCCACCACCACCAATGTGCAGCATCCACCTGGATGATGCGACGGCAGCCATAGTGCGCCAGAACGCTCACCACACATCAGCTACCAGTGGGGAGGAGAGCAGAGTAATGTAGCCAATTCATAGATGGGGATTATTAGGAGGCCATAACTGGTAAAGGCCAATGGGGAAATTTGGCCAGGACGCCAGGGTTACACCCCTACTCTTTCAAGAAACGCCCTGGAATTTTTAATGACCACAGAGAGTCAGGACCTCGGTTTTACGTCTCATCCGAAGGACGGATGTATTTTCTTTACATTTGCTATCCAGTCTCTTAACACTACATAACTTGTTACCAAAATGTAGTTCATAAGATGAAAACAAAATGTTTTTAGCATACCTGTATACCATATGAGTATTTCAACTAATATTAAAACAGTAAGTCTACATGACAGTGCATCTAAGAACCTATTTTAATTTTAATTGAATTCTCAAATCCTTTGTTCACAATTATTCACACAAGGATAAAACTCCCTTACCTTTTCCACAGAGTTACTGTCTTCCTTGAGGAATGAAACCTTCTTGAAGTCTTGTCTTGGTTTACTAGGACTTCTCGTCATCTTTTCTCTGAGCAGTGTTGCATAGCCAGAGTGTTCATAAATAGGATTGGTTGTCATCTTTGAAATATATTCTGAAGCTTTTGTCTCAATGTAAAGTGTTATCAATCCATCGGTTACCAGGTCATGGATTGACTCGAACCTCTTCTCACCTACGAAGTGTTTTCCATCATAGAACAACCTGTAATTTAAGGTTTGATTGCCAAACCTTGTAAAAAAAAAAATGTTTTTTTTAACAATGATCATCTGTTCTAGATTAATAGCCCTTGCCACACTTCAATCGTTCTTACCATTATGATTTAACAAGAAATGAATTATCACTTTACGGCAAGTTACCCTCTGTGGGAATTGAAAGGGAGACACCTCTCTAGTATAGGGCAAAATTAAATTTAATTTCATATGAAATTAAAAAAATTAAAGATGAATTAGAAGTTTATTATTGGATTATACAGGGTTAGTTAAAATCTTGTCGACAAGTATGAATGCCAAATATTTTACTATAGTTTTTTCTCCTCCACAGATGGCACTGTAGTCGAACAGTATCCACAAAAGCGTCACCTGTGGAGAAATAATTTTGTGTTCTCTGTTATCATGAAACCCATGTAATTAATTTGTAATAAACTGTCAAAGCTGTCGATAGCATTTTGACTAACCCTGTATTATAGTCTTGTATATTTCTGATGTGTTACTTTACCTGTTATGAACAGAATGAGGTTGATCACGCACAAGTTCCATATCTGTACAAAATGTGATCTTGAGATTTGCGTTGGAACTGTTGTTGAGTATTTTGTGGAAGGATATCAATAAGACATAGTACTCTTTAATCTAAATGTATCAACTGAACAGTGGTATTACAGCACAGTTGATACTGTGGCTATCAAGCAGGTGACCCACAGAGTCTTATGTACATCATAGTCAAAATGTTTTCATCAAATATAAAATTAATGGTATTTACTTCTGTATTCCATGGCAAAAGCACAATTAAACATTTTGTAAAGTTCACATAGAAGCAAGGAAAAAAAAGGGGGGGGGGGGACAGTGACAAGGTAAAAACTTGAGAAAACCACAAACAAGACCTTTTCTTGTAGGATGTATTTATTATAGAATTGCTCTCGCAGTTTACCTTGAAATAGTTTTTATCTTTCCCATTTTTACCAGCTCCTGTATTTACATCAATTTTGTTCCCGCTAGACAAAAGCTACAAAGTTTGAAGATGGCCCAGTAGATAATGCTGCTAATGATGTATACAATCTTTTGTGTAAACAATAAGTCAAGTTACTTTATGACTTATTATAGGGAAATGGGCAAGATCACTGTACAGTGTCTATAATCATTCTCAGCTCATCAGAAAACGAAGTTATCTTTTAAACTTTAAAATATTTAATTTAATATGTGAAAAGTAAAAGCTGCTGAACTGTTGTATGAAATTAAGTGAAATGCCCCACCGTAAAGCCAGTGTGTATGAGCCAGGCTGCCTCTGGCTTTCCCTGATGAGGTAGGCACCCTCTGCCTCACCCAGGAGCTCTTCAGCTTGCTCCCTAGAAATCATTGCATGAAACCTCAGAGAAGAGAAAAGCACAAGATTAGGATCTACAAACCGCCCGCTCTAAAAAATACAAACTCAGCCTATCATCTGTTATAGCAGACATAGCTGGACTGCACAAAAAATTCTGAACTGCCCAAAATGTTGTTTGCTCAAAATAGGTTAGGAAATTTGATTTTGATCTGTTGCCATGATTTTTATTAATATTGGTAAAACCTTTGTTAAACAGTGCTCACACCCAAATCTGCCTAAAAGCCTGCAAATCAACTGCAGAGCACCGACCTTGAATTCACTGAGATTTGTACAAAGCCTTGCAAAAGTTTTCAAACTCTTTCTATGTTGGCCCATTTTGTGAAATGAAGCATGCATTTATAAACTTAATACTGTTACAAAATAGGGGGTGCATTTAAATACATGAGCAGGAGATTCCATTTGAGGCACACCTATGATGAAAGAGTAGTAAATCAGAGTCAAAACATTGCAAAACTAATCTAACCTATTTAATCGTTATTAAAAATACACCATAACACAACTAACCAATACAAAATATTATACTATAACACAAGTACAAATATATGTACTGTATATCAGAGGCCTACATCTTACAGACCTAGATAAAGTACACAGAATTCAATACCTTGTGAGACAGTGGATAAATCTTCTCATCCTTCCTTAGCGCTAGTCACCACTAGAAGGCCCAGGAAGACAACAAAACAACCCTCTAGCTTTCCTCCAGCACAGCCACATGAGAATTTGGGGCTCTCCATCATCACATCATCAGCAACACCTGCACTACCAATTAATAGCCTTGTAACAAATGCTCACTTGGCTGATGGGGCATTCGGCACAGAACCTCATCTAAGCAACTCTGTTGAGGCGCTTATTATAGCACTTTAAGATATAAATTTGAATTTACGTTTCTATCGAGCTTTAGTGCTCATCTTACTTCCTTAAGATATATACTTTTCAAGTGATTTCACACTGGCATTCTACCATCTTACTGAGGTTGCTAGGTTAAAGCAGGTGAAATCACAGCCCAGTCACTCACACTGTTACAGCCTGTAATCTGAAACCCTACGCGACACCTTAACGGGTCACAAAGAGGAATGCAACCTGCATCCAAAAACAAGAATATGGCTCAAAACTAAATCTCCCTTCTTATAACACAGATGCCCAATGATGTTCAGAATTTTTTTTTATTTTCAGCTACCAACATTTCCCTTTAGTTACTGTACATTATTCCATATTAATATTTCATATTAAGTGAATATAAAGAAGCAGGTGAAACTAATGTTTTCACTAACATCTGACAGACCACAAGTGCCACCTATTGGCCAGTGAAGATTCTCTGAGCAGAATCATAGCATGACAAGGTAATTTTGCTGTGGTAATGAATATATATAGTAAGTATTAATTGCTTCCTTAAAGTGTCATGACTGCAAGCTTTAAAGCAACAAAATCTGAAAACTATTCACAGGTTTGAATACTTTTGCAAGACACTGTACATCTCCCAGGTCCCTGCGATAGTACACTATTAAAAAAATAACAGCGGGGATAAGAAAATAGTGAAAAAAATCATACGTACTCTCTTCCATAATACTTTGGCCTCTTCTCAACCTGAAACCAACAAGAAAGATATATAAAGACAATACAAAAAAGTTAGTACATAGCTCTCCCAGGTAGTCTTGATCGTGAAGAGCTACAGTATGAAGAAAATGGCTGTGATTTTGGAATGCGTATTAAGGTCTTCCAGGTGTTATAGATTAGATTAAGAGTGCTTCACTGTTGACTTCAAGTCCATACTTAAATCTGTGACCATGAAACTGACATGTTTAATAGTCTCGAGGTCATAATTTCCAGAATCATCACTTTCCATCTTTACTAAGCAACATTTTTAGATGTTTTTAATATACTGTACCTCAGCGTGCCTGCAGGGGGCAATATTTCATGTGTCCACAGATGACTGCAGTGCCGCAGAAATACTATTCATAATGTCTTAATGGCATATTTTTCTGTAGCAAGCATCAAGGAAATGACTTTGAAAATAACAGCAAATACTTTGATTTGTATTAATATCCTGGATAAGGTTATAGCATGATTTTTTGGCATGTAACTGTATAACAATACTTTCTATTGTTGGATATTACTATGTTTTGTATCTTCCACCGACTTCACTATCAACACAATGAAAGCAAACAATACTGATTTTATTTAGCACTGATCAGAATGCTTAACATCATATATGCCTTTTATAGTTTACATATTAAGCAGAAGGAAAAGTTAAATATTTTTTTTTTAGTCTTAGCAGTTTGCAACTGGTAAAACTGGCTTTTAACCTAACCGGAATAATGCTTTAGAGATACTACTGATACATGAAAGGGTACTGAAATGTCTTCTTTTGAGGAAACAGGAAGCTAATAAAACACTGCAAATATAACCAGACCGCTGAAAAGTCAGTTAAGAAATACTGTAGAGTACATCTGAAATAACTGGACACGTTACCAAGCTTTATGCAAACTCCTTCTTTTCAGTATAGAATTCAAAGAAAAATAGCTGATTGGCTGTTCTAGCAGTCAAACTATGGATGCTTAACTAATATTTAAATTAATTTTATTCAGAATGTTTATGACTTTTTCCAGTAGTGAAAAATAATGTTTATTTAAAATCTGTTGCTCTATTTTCTCAGTAAACAAAACACTTTGCACTCTTGAAATCATGTGACTAAGATTTTTTTTTAGGCATGGCATTTCTTCAGGTGTTGATATTCAAATCAATTCTCTCTCTGAACCAACTTGACAAGCTGACAACAACACCAGGTAACTGTCACTACTGTTGTCTAAGCCTTGGCATATAAATTTGCAGTATGCCTAAAGGGCCGTGTTAGAAGAGAGCCTGTACATATAGCAACAGAATTCTGCCCAAGGTCTGCAGCAAGATCAGCTGGATATATATGATCAGCTAGCTACCACTGACGATGCGTCCACCTGATCAGCATTATGGTGGACTTTCGTCAACATTCCTGAATATTACGATATTTTTAAGTAAATGCTATGCCAGGAGCATATGAGGTGCCGTTTAGGCCATAATTCAAACTTTACCTCTCATACATACACAAATTGCTCTCACATACACACAAAAGGCTCTCACACTCTCCATTTTACCTCTCACATTCACACTCACCAATCACTTTGTGCCATTTAGACGGACCGCCTACATTGGGCCATAATTCACTTCTCACATACACATAAAATGTTCTGTCTCTCCCGTTCACATTGTGAAGGAGTTTTTTATGTATATGTGTGAGATAAAACCAGTGAATGTGAGAGAATGTGAGAGCATTTTATGTGTACGTGCGAGGTAAAACTAGGGAATGTAAGAGCGTTTTATGTATAAGATTTTTTTTGTGTGTATGTGAGAGCAATTTGTGAGTGTAAGAGAGGTAAAGTTTGAAAAATGGCCTAAACGGCACCTCACAGGAGCAAACTGAATTTCATGCCCATCAGTGACTTACTCTGACCAAGCAGGCATTTACTGTACTTCCTTTATTGTCCCAGATGGGACATTTGCTTTCAATTTCCCAGCTCAACGTTAACCAGGAGGAGCTACTGAACTGTCAACGCGAGAGTAGAGTAGGACTTTCTCTCTCCTTAACATTCTGATGCTATGCCAGGATTGGTTGACACTGGGCCAGCAGAGCAAGTGTTGGACAAAGCTTTGACCCTGTCATAACCGGCCCTAGGGGACCCTAGGTAAGACTTTAGAAAGCAGTCCCTCCAGATCATGATTTGCACATACACTACTCTTATCAGCTCCCAACACAACCTTATTTTACTATTAAGAATAATAAAACAAAATAATTATATAACTAGAAAACTTGTATTAACCAGCTTTGGAGAACACATAAGAACTAACATAGAAACAAGAACATGAGGTACACATTACAAAGATGATGTATTGTAACACTGAAAGTAACAAAGAGAAGCATTAATAACAATAATGATAAACAAAATCTCTGTTACTTCCAAATTTGAGTAAATCATAACTGACAGATTACTGCATTGAAACCTTTGTAGTAAAGAACTGCAGAAATAAATATGAAATTAAGTAAGAAAAAATAACAAGTGCACTCAATAACAAGGGAGGAGAGATCAGTAAGATAGATGGGAAAGTTTTATTAAAAAAGTTCTACTCTAATCAATTTATCAATATGTTCAATCTCAGGTATGTTTTAATCAACTTGAGCTCTGAAAAGCACCTTTCTGCTTCTGCTACTGTCACTGGGAGAGGGATTGCAATCCAAAAGGCTATAGGTTGAGTTCATAATACCCTCCTATAATGAAATATAGGAGAAATCACAAGGAAAACAATGTGTTTTAATGACAATTACTTATAATGGTTGAACAGTCTATTTCATGCTTTTTAGCAGGCTAACCACATGGCATGTTGGAAATGAGAATCTGTTAAATTCTAGTAAAAACACCTCAAGTAGTCAATATCTCTAGTTTCAAAATATAACATGTCTATGGTAACCCAGTTAAATGGAACTGACAGAGTCAAAATTAATTTAATACAAATACAAATGACTGTATTATTACACAGATTGTGCATTATTACAATGACTTGATTTGGTGTACCTCTGTTTTGTGATTGCTTATCCTGCTCTTCTTTTGAAACATTACCTACTCGATTATGATTGGTCATTTTTTTTGACTGGGCTTCCATTAGGATATTCCACAGCAGCAACAGAAAGAGCCACTACAGGGTCACATTTGAACTTGCCGATTAAAAATATGATGCATTGTACATTGAGGGGGCCTCCTGGAGGCCTTGGGGCCCTAGGCAGTAGCTTAGTCGCCAGCCCTGCTCCTTCTTGTACATGGGTGACATAAGTGCTGGATGAGTATTTCAGAATTCAACATTATTATATTTGAGAACTCAATTGCTATCCAAACACATCTGATATAAATTGAATTTACCTAATGTTAAAGTATCTTATCTTTTCATAATCTTGATTCATTATATTGGTAACCCTCAAACAAATGATCAACCATTTGTATCTAGGAAGATTGTTTCATGTATTTACTTTTATGCTTTTATGTGCACATTGTATGCATTAATAAATGTATTCCATGTATTTTGAATCCATGTACAATTAATTGTTATCCTGTGGACTGATTCCTAATACCCAAGACAAGATCACAGAATTGACAGTTAGAAATTATTGAATTGTGCCAGTAATTTCACACAACAGGTGTCATCAGCAACTAATGCACTTATGTAATACAGTACTCAGAGAGTTATGGGATATATATTGAGATAAATATTCTGTATATGGAAGCAAACTAAGCATAAAAAGAAGAGGAGCAGATAGTAGTATCCAGAAGCACCTTGTAAGACTGCCAGGTGGAGCTAATAGCCAGCAGCCATATCACCCTCCAACTCACAACTACTGAAGCTAAGCAGGTGTGAGTCTGGTCAGTACCTGGATGGGAGACCTCCTGGGGAAAAACTAAGGCTCCTGCTGCTGAAAGAGGTGTTAGTGGGGCCAGCAGGGGGTGCTCACCCTGTGGCTCATGTGGGTCCTAATGCCCCAGTGTAGTGATGGGGACACTATACTGTAAACAGGCGCCGTCCTTCGGATGAGGCGTAAAACAGAGGTCCTGACTCTCTGTGGTCATTAAAAATCCCAATCGAAATCGAAAAGAGTAGGGGTGTAATTCTTGGAGTCCTAGCCAAATTTTCCATTGGCCCTTATCAATCATGGCCTCCTAACAATCCCCGTCTATGAATTGGCTTCATTACTCTGTTCTCCTCCCCACTGATAGCTGATGTGTGGTGAGTGTTCTGGCGCACTATGGCTGCTGTCGCATCATCCAGGTGGATGCTGCACATTGGTGGCAGTGGAGGGGAGTCCCCATTACCTGTAAAGCGCTTTGAGTGGAGTGTCCAGAAAAGTGCTATATAAGTGTAAGCAATTATTATTATTATTATTATTATTAAAGCTTAATGTCTCATGTACAGCATTTGAGCTGTTGCCAGAAAACGCCTGGTTTCGAATCCCTGTCACTGCTGAGGGACAATCTTTTTCCAATTAAGAATTTAAGTTGCACAGATGCAGCCATTCAAAATGCATGGCACAACCGCGAGAAATTATCTACCGTTCACCGCGTTGTACCGCAGTACGTGATAGGCTGGCCAAAATTACTGACAAAATTTAAACCCATAGCAACTGTACTCATTTTATGATGCACTGAAATTGATAAAATATCACAAAGTTACATGCCATTATCTGGATTATTTAAGCATGCATAAAAATCTTTATGTATTAAAAACTAACATTAAATTATCATGGGAATTCGTATATATTTATATGTACTGCACAGAGCAAAGCATGCCATGTTTAAAAAGGCAAAAGGCTATAGTCTATGATTTCTCTTTAATTTTAAAATTGCAATTTAACGTTAGCATTCCTGTACTACATATATACAGTATACACTCATCCACAGTATGTACACAATCAGTATTCTATTGGTCAAGCCGAACCGACTAAGAACCAGACATGGCCATTTCTGGGCCACCCTACACAAGTGGGGCTCCACTGATGACCCAACTTGCCAATGCGGTGATGGCAAGGAGCAGACGGCCGACCACATCCTAAACTCCTGCCCTCGCTTCAGATGCCCTGGCAACTTTACTGATTTGGATGATGCCAGCTGTGACTGGCTGAGGCACCTGACTGTGACAATATAACTATGTAACCTCTGCATGTTAAGCTCATATGAATAATAATTATATTGGTAATAAAATATTATGATTTCCCTTGGGTTTAATATGATTACCTGAGGCAATATTCCTGAGTTATCAGTTAAACAACATTTAATTGATCTGAATAATAAAACCAAATAATTTTCAGAACATTATTATGATAAACAGACTGGTTGCTGTTGTTCTTCTAATTCCTAAGAGGCTACCAGGGAAAACATTTTCTATCATTCATTTAAAAATACAGACACATAAAGTGCAAATAGCCCAACTACAAAAAGGCACAAGAAAAACACAAAACTGAAAGATACAAAAATACTAACCTCTCGGTGGCAAATAATCCTCTTGGGTCTTGGGGCTGCTTGCTGCAACTGGTACACTGCACAGAAAAAAAGTTATTTTTCTACATATAGGGTATCACAGACAAACAAGACTGAACTTTGTTGCATTAACATTTAACTAGTGTACTGGATAATCATGTAAGAGCAACAAAAATAAAGCAGCAACTAACAGGTGAGTTGTTATCTCATACTAAACCAGTACAGTAGGTCCAAAGTAAACTTGACTGCTGAAATTAGTCCCCATCTCTGACAAAAAAAAAACTTGATTACAACAAACACAAAGTAACAGCTGCTTCCTTTGAGAGGATATTGAAATATTGGACTAAATTAGTAAAACTCTTTCTATAGACCAATTCCGAAATTTAGTATCATACTAAGCAGAACACTGGAATTACTGAAATAATATCATAATTTTTAGCATCTGACACAGTGATATAAATTCTAATATTCAACTAAAATTGCGTTCCAACCACAATCCAATAATTCTGTGTCTAATTATGAAGGTGCCTTCAGTACCATGGCTACTAATGCACATAGAATCTGTATACTGAATGTGATAGAATGTTCTGAGATGTAAATTCTGATAAATATTCTATGGAGGAAAGTGAACAGTTATTAATTGTTCACTTCCCTCCATAAGATATATCTCCAGTTTATCTCCATAAGATACATATAGTACAAATCAATGTTCTGGGACTGAAGTGTCACTTGAGTCTATTTGTTGTACTATTGATTGGTAATGCCTAGGCTAGGAGCGACTTGCAGCTTCCCATTGCCATGAGAAACATTACAGTTACAATGTTAGAATTTGCTGTAGCATTCAATGTTGGACCAGTCCCATGTGAATCAGGTTGGGCCATTTGTACATTTGACCTGCTGCCTTTCAATTAGTCATCTAATCAATCTATCACTTAATTTGCCCATTTAAAAGTTTAGTTTCTACTACATTGGTGCTCAAGCACTGAGCTCATTTAAGCTGTGTTCACTCTCTGATCGCAACTACCTGACTAGCTTCGAAAGCACCTATCCAGAGGAGAATCACCACTTTTATTTTTCTCTGGCAGTTCTCCCCTTGCCCCTGTCTTTACGCCGCTTTCTGGCAGCCCGATATCAAACAATATCCAACCTGCCTGCTAAACTCTCTCCACCAAGTCACCTTGGTCTCACTGCCTCCTGAGCTCTCTGGAATTGTCACACCCTTTACACCTAGAGGACGCTCTACTTCTGTCCTGTTCCTAGTTCCCTATGATTATTCATGTTTTTCCCGTGTGTCTTGTTGTTTGGCCTATTTACTTCCTGTGTCTGCTCTGCTCCTGGCTCAGCATTGAGTGTACGGATGTCCTGAGACCTGTTTAGTACCAGGCTGCTCCTGTCCGTGGCCTGAGGGCATAAGTTTCTACTCCGACATTGTCTGACCCCCTGAGCCTGGGCTAACCTCCGTGTTGTCCCCTTTTACTGCTACACATAGGGCCTTTATTGCTCTCCTGGTCATTCCATGGCATGCCTTCTGACATCCGTAACAGGAATAGGGATATTGAAGAATAGGTGTAAAACGGGTAAAATGGGCTATTTTATGTTGTTTAAAGTAAGGGTTTACTAAAGAAAATATTTTTATTGGGATCTTCACAGAAATTATTATTTATGATAGCTCTTCGGAATGTACCCTTTCTCATTCTTATGGTTGTGATCCAATAATAACAGTGTCAAAACAGCCAGATAAAGCATTAGCAAGATTTTAAGCATTCCCTGATTTGTAGAGAACTGCTTTGACAAGTGCTGCCTCAAAATTGGTAACTAAGCCCTTAGGGGATGGAAGGAAGTGGAGGTTAGCAGAAGAAACTTGCTTCAAGAGATGGACCAAATGCCCAACACTTTCACTCAAAAGGAGAATTGAATCCATCCATACATCTATTTTCTAACCTCTGGGGCCCATACTGGCAAGCTACAGGCACAAAGCAGGACAGCAGACTGAATGCAAAGGTTAACTGCAGGAGCAGACCAGCTTCTTAATGTGTGATTTGATAAGAGGTCAGGTTGAGCCCTGGCTGTGGAAGTGGTGGCTCCAATTCAAAACAGTGGATAATGTAGGGTCGCCAGCTGAAATCGTCCCTGTTGAGTAGGTTTGACTGAAGCAAAGTACAGAGGCTCAATGTTAGCTGAATAAGAGATGATGGTTCTGATGCTGAAGAGAGGAGGGAGGTGGATGAGATGGACATCCTTTGGATCTGCAAAATCAAAGTTATGGCTCTTATTGGAATTACAAGGAAAAGCCCAAATCCCTGCACTTGGATTGCAGCCTGTCAGACTGCTCTTGGCACTGCACTGCAAGTGACAGTGGTGTAACAGTTTCAGGATGGGAATTGGGATGCAGAAAACAGTGCTAGAAATAGGTTTCTTGGAGGGATGAATATCTGGATTTCATGGAGTGTTGGCCAGTCAAATGGGCAGAAGACTGTGAAGGTTCTTTGACTGGCAGGGTCAGAGGCTGTCGCACCATACAGACTGAATCTGTTGCCAAAGCATCTGAACGAGTGGACATTATGGGGTATATGAAAAGTGGCAGATGTCTTTCAGTGGCATTGAACGACTTAATTGTTGGAAAATTACTGACCTTCCTTGGGTAGATGCAGATAGTGAAGTTTAAATAACTTGGCATGACTTGGAACTTGAGCTTTGCAGTTGCGATAAGTGGAGGAAGGCTGCCAATCGTCTGGAGGCTGCAGACAGATGAGCCTGAAGTGAGAATCTCTGCAGAAATTGAAGATTTACAAAAAATTGCAGGTAGAGGCAGAAGCTGCAGCTCTTAGACAAAGGGAAATAGAGGGCTATGAAAGCAGACCCTGGAGGTGTGAGGTCTGAGTCCATTAAATATACAGAGAAAAAGGTTGGTACCATAAGAGGACCAGTCGTTGATATGGTGATATGAAATTCTGCTCCGAGAATAGCAGCTGCTTTTGCTGCGAAGGCAAAACAGGGTACCACAATAGAAACTGAGAGGTTGATACATATATGGATTACATGGATACATACAATGACCTAATTACTAATGCCAGAGAGGGTAGACAGAGCAGAGCTCTTTTGTGAAATACAATTAATCTGAACTCAGTTATCGGGTTAATTCTATCCAGATAACTTAAGAAAATCCTGAATTAATTAAACAGCAAAATGTTTTCTTGACTTATCAGAAACAAACATGGGATATTATGTACTTGCTTATGATTTTTCAAGTTTTGACTGGACTTGTATTATAAACATCCACAGCAGCAACAGTAGGAGCCACTAGAGAGAATTTTTGACTCACATTTGAATGTGCCAAATAAAAAAAATTGTGTTGCACATCGATGGGCTCCACCTTGCGGCGTCAGAACTCTAGTCAGTCGCTTAGTTCACTTATGCCAAGGACCAGTCCTGCTTCACTCTCAACATGGCAGTAGCTTCAGGTTCCCAGATTCCAGCTGCTATTCACCATCACTCCCTTGTTCCTCATCTGTGACACCAAATAATGCCTCCAGAAAATCTAGACAAATTGATTTACTGTATAGAATGTTTTTTAATGTGACTTTCTTATCTGCGCAGCCTTACTGATCTCACCTCCCTTTCTATTGAATGTACTTGTTTTTTTTTACTTAATTTCATATTTATTTCTACAATTCCTTTTTACAAAGGTTTCAGTGCAGTACTGTAGTTTGTAAGTTATAATTTGCTATAATTCTGAAGTAACAGAGATCCGGTTTATCGTCATTTTGTTGTTATTAATGTTCCCGTTGATTCGTTTCAAAGTTAAAATACATATTTTCTTTGTAAAATGTTGGCTTCTTGTTATTGTTAGCAAGTTATTTATTATGAGCTTTTCAAAACTGGTTTAAAACTTTTATATATACAATATATATTTACTCATATATATATAATATTGTAACAAATGGGGGGTTATGAAACTGGTAAAAATCAGCAACTGACCGAGCAGTTTAGTCAATAAGTGAAATAATTATTCATAACCCCCAACTTGTACGAGATTTCTAACCATATACCCAGATATAGTTATAGGTATAACTAGATTCAGGTGAATTCTTTATTCTCCGGAACAGGTTTGTTGAGAGGAGTAATAATCCAGGCACACTTGGTTAAAGCAAATATTGAATAATAATAATAATAATAATAATAAAAATAAACTTTATTTTATATAGCACCTTTAAAGGTGGCTTCTCAAAGCGCTTTACAGAATGACAACAATAATAAATAAAAAGAATACACAAGATAAAACACAATTACAATATATAGAGACCGTGGATGGTGGTACTACGAAAAGCAGATGGGTAAAAAATGGAACCAGTTAAGTAAAGGCTTTTCTAAAGAAGTGGGTTTTGAGTCTGGATTTGAAGGAGTTTAGAGAAGGTGACTCTCTGATATCTAAGGAGAGAGTACCAGAGCTTGGGGCATAACAGGAGAAGGCCCTGTCACCCATACAATGTAGATGGGCTTGGGGGACAGTAAGGAGACCAGAATTAGAAGAGCAAAGTTTGCGAGGTGGGGAGTAGGGCGATAATAGTTTAGACAGGTACTGAAGTGCCAAGCCATGCAGAGCCTTATAGGTGAGCATGAACATTTTAAAGTCTAAACAGAATTTGATCGGAAGCCAGTGCAAGGACTCCAGTATAGGAGTAATGTGATCATTTGCACTAGACCTGGTCAAGATTCTGGCTGCTGAATTTTGGATATACTGCAGTTTGTTCAAAGTAGATTTAGATACCCCAGCAAATAGAGCATTACAGTAATCAATTCGAGAGAACACAAATGTGTTGATCAGCTTTTCAGCCACAGTTAGTGATAGCATAGGGTGAAGTCTAGTGATATTTCTGAGGTGAAAAAAAAGATGTTTTAACAATATGCTGCACATGTGGGTCGAATGTTAAGCCAGAATCGAATATAACCCCAAGGTTTTTCAATTTAGATTGAAGCTCAAGTACGGAACCACCTACAGATACGGTTACAGGACTGGCTTTATGAAGTTGATGGGGGGTGCCAATAAGTATGACTTCAGTCTTGTCACAGTTAAGATGAAGGAAATTTTGAGTCACCCAAATTTTATGTCAGAGATGCAATTAGATAGAATAGAGACAGCCACATTAATGTCAGGTTTGGTATGGATGTATATTTGAGTATTGTCAGCATAGAAATGAAAGCTGAGGCCATGTGATCTTAAAAGCTGACCAAGTGGAAACATGTAAATGCTGCAGAGCAAGGGGCCCAGTATTGAGCCCTGACGAACACCAGACTTAACAACACCAATTTCATACCTATACCCATTAAGAGAGACAAAGTGACAGCAATCAGTGAGGTAAGATTTGAACCATTTGAGAGCAGTGTCAGAAACTCCAAACAGTCTCAAGACGAGAAAGTAAGATTTTATGGTCAACAGTGTCAAAAGCAGCACTGAGATCAAGAAGGATGAGCATAGAAAGAGAACCAGAATCAGAATCCCAATAGAAAAGGGAAGTCTTTAGCCAGACTGGAAGACCTTGAATCGATATTAAAGTCCCCAAGAATAAGGATCCTTTTAAAATTAAGGCATAAAAATGAGAGAAAATCTGCAACCTCACTTAAGAAGGCTTCACTGGGTTTGGGTGGTCTCTAAACTGTGGCAATAATAGTAGATTGGGGGATAGAAACCTTTAAAACAAAGCACTCAAAAGAACAGGGAGGAAGTATAGTATAGGATTTAGATTGTAAAAAAGGTTTTAAATAACAATTCAGGCGAGAAGGCTCCACGGCCGAAATGTTGTGTTTCCTTTTCAGCAAGGAATAATCATTACAAGTTACATTGTATTCAGTATTTACAGACAAGGTATTTCAGAGGCCTAACATTCTGGTCACCCAGAAAACCCCAGACTGCAACTAACCACTTAACTCTTAATATGCCTACAGAGGCCACACAAGAGATGAACTGTCTTCTAACGAAATACCAATCTCTTACCCAGGAAACCCAAGTTCCCTAAAAACATAGCTCCAGTCAGGTTTAGTTTTGATGATCAAGAAGTAGGGGCCCTTGCCTGGCACAAGCTTCAAGTCCCAACACCTCTGGACACCTCTCTCTTCTCCCTGCTTGTCTTTTTCTGTGCTGCTCCTGGCCAATCATAAATCCACAATTTCCCTAGGTATACTTAGGTAAACTTTACCATTGTTTCTGCTCAAGGGACCCCCCAGACCTCAGCAAACATCATGTCTCCTTTGAAGTTAGAAGTATTTACTCTTCCCAGTGTCACAAACTGTACCTAAAATCTAAGAGAGACTTCTAAGTCACCTAAAACTGTAACAATTTACCTAAATGTTCTAAATAGTAAATTAAGCTCTGGGTAGGAGAGTGGGGTTTTAATTTGATGTAACAATCTGAAATTGTAACAGTATATTCTTGATGATTTTTATGAACCAATCAAATATAATGATTTAGAGTCTCACACATTAATTCTAAACATACAATTTATTGATATAACCAAAACATGCATAACAAACAACAGGGATTACAAAGAATAGAGGTAAAAAAATCATAATTAAATACACATCAACTACAGTCATTTTACAGGTCTATCAGTCACATCACATTTATATTCTCAGACACAAGCAAATATGGATTTACTATCATGAACTAAACATACACATGCATTTAAGATAATGTTTCGGTTCTCAAGAATTATAATGTGAACAATAAATGTAATACTCAAAGATCCATTGTCAAAATGTCCTTGATGATACCTTGCACTGGTAAAAAAGAGGCTGGGCTGGGTTTCCAAAACTAGCTGTGTTTGGGCTCAGGCAGCTCTGCCAAAGGTCTTGAGTCTTAATGACTTTAGTCTTTAAAACAGTCTGTACACAGTTTGTCTTCTTGGGGGCCACAAGGTAGACAAAAGGGTAACTTCGTTCATTCTATGCTATACTTTTGTTTAGAATATGCTTCGATATTCAAATAAAAAGAAAGGGTCCGAAATTCTAATTTCATTAATCAGGTGAAAATAACAGTAGATTTTTTAGGAAGAATATCTTGGACAGAATTCTATACTTTACTGACTCACTCTTTTGACCTGACTTGGACTGTTTACTGTCACATGATTGTAAAAGTTTGCCAGTTTAGATGGAGAGATTGAGAGAGCCAGTGATTAATCGGCAAAGATGTATTGGGATACAGTTTATATGGAGCAACATCACAGGTTGGTGGCTGGCTGAGATCCCATCAAGGTATGGTGCTGGTGCCCACCCTACAGATCCACAATTTGTGGATTTTCCTTTGGGGATGGACAGTGATCTTTGTACTGTGGTTCTAGGGATAATCCTGCCTGGAGACTTGCTGGAGTCCATCTGTGCTATACATCTTTAAACTCTTCAGCCTGATACAGCTTTATGATGTCTCTTAACAGATGCGCCTCTTTAGCCACATTCTTGTGCCATCCACAGACAGCACCAGGCTACTTGGTCAAGCCACATAAAGATCGTTAGAAATCTTTAATAACACTTAATTCTAAGTGAAATAATATGCCTTGTCATTACAAGTGTATGCACAAATACACTGGAGGGGCCCCTTTCCAAGATCTTGCCTGGAGCCCCCAAAAGCTAGGGCTGCTCCCGGAGTGAAGTCAAGTGCAGCAGAAGGAGTGGGGAAGAGGGAAGGCACTGGAGTTGGAGGCAGGGTCAAAGAGAGGCACCTTCACTTTTATCCAGACAGTTGAGATTAGCTATAGTGTGAGAGAGAGAGTACAGAAATGCAAGTGATTTATTGAGTCAAGGTATTAAGAAGGCAGGACTGGTTCTGCTGTTTCACAAAGAAGAAGAAAAGGTCCGCATGATTGCATTGTGGAAGAGTAGGGATGCATTAGACAAAAAGAAATTTAGGAGCTTTTTGAGAGTACTGCTTGACGCAGAGTGACGCCGGCAGTGGCTGCAAAGCAGAAGTTGAAACATTGCCAGGTGGCAAAAGTGAATGAACAAAGAGGATTGAACTTGAGACTTTAGGAACTCAAAAGCCTAGACATAAATACTCGAGAGCTCGAGGTTTAAATAGAAAGTTAACCGCAGCTACTTTCCCTGAACCTTCGCCTGGCTGTTATAATTTTTAGCAGCTTTGCATTCCTCTTTTCATTAAGATTGTTAATAAAAGATCTATTCAGTGGAAACAGACAAGTCAATTCCTTACCTTTAGTCTTACCTGAGAGGCATTATATACAGTATTTCCATACCTTGTTCTAACAAGTAGATCACAAGCCGTCTAAAAACCCAGACATCAATTTTTTGCGAGAACACTGAAAGATAACAAAGATTTTTACACTTTGATCTGTTGTTAAATCTCTGTAAAATCTTTGGTACATCCCTTTTACAGGTGCTCAAGTTGGTGTTTTGGAAAATAAACTAATCAGAACAACCCCTCTGTTAAGTGACTGCGTTACGAATAAAAGTGGTGACATAATGCAAAATAAATGAAACTATGATAAAAGTATTTTCATGAAATTTAAAAGAACACCAATAAAATGACAAGAAACTGACAGTGCTGGACAAGACTTGTAACCTGAAACACAGAAGTTCTATCCAGTACCAATTTCAATCCAGCTGACACCCACAGCCTATGACACATAAAAGAAGACATGTAGGAAGAATGTCCTATTATACTGTTTCTTTAGAACAGAGTTAAAAAAAAGTTTTCTGTTTATCCATCGTTATCCATCTTTTCGCTTTCTTTCTTATTGTCCTGATGATCCTGCAAGATGGCTTTGAGTATTTTCCCGAAGAACAGGCTAGAAGAAATATTAAAAAAATATAATGTATAAATCAATAGAGCAATGATACTCTGTAATATATACTATAATCATATAATGAAGCCTTAAGTATTTGCTTACCTTTCGCTCTTTGTGAACCGAGGCAATTGGTACTGAGCGCCAAGTGTCCCGTAAAATATCTTGGTCACCATACTGTGGCAGTTGTGCTGAAGATTCACAGATTTTTAAAAATACGAATTCAATGAAATCCCAACTTATTTATATCAGTATTACTGTAAGTTTAGGAATGCCAAACCTTCTTAGGTAAGCCCAGGTCCTGTCTTCCAAGACAAGCATGATGCAGATAATTGATTGTTGATTATCAACCTTTTTTATAGCTTTACATTATCTTGTAAATGCTCTAATTTTTGTCATATTGCAGTATTTGTAATCAGAATACGCCCTTCCTGTGCCACAAAGACATTGAGGTGTGAAGTCTGATTTTTATTTTTTTAAACTTAAAAACTACCTTGAGATATCAATCTTCTTGCACCACATTTGCACCACATTTGTTTGTATTATTATTATTGTTGTTGTTAGCAGGTCTTGTTGCCTTTGATGCAAAAATTAGTTAAGTTAAAAAAGGGGTTTATTAGAGCTCTTATTGCCTAGCTCTTCAGATTCTAGGGTGTTCCATTGCCACCTGCACTCAAATAGGGGTCCATCCATAAGGTGTACACAGGTGAGACAATCCTATGCAGAGTGAAGACCATAAATAAAAACAGTGGATTGTGATTTTAAGGCAAAGTATAATATCTGAGGTGACAGACGTTAATATCCCAAATACAATCTGCTCATAAAACTAGGGTTTGACTGGCTATAACACATTTTTACATTTTGCGGAGGCTTGGAGAGGTCTGGAGAGCTCTGGGAACCCTTGAGGGTGGCCTCATAAAACCTTATGCAGAATTTGATGTCTTCATCCTATCAATTTCACCCCAAAATATTTTCAAAAGGGATGTAAAAATGTTGGAGCAGAGTTTTTCAAAAATACATATATATTAGTTGCACTTAATTATGGCTGATTTAGTGTATTCTCTTAGTTGAAGAAAATGTCTAATATCCAATTTAAATATTTCTTGTGGCATTTCCACTTTTGGATGTATGCTCTAATGTGAATAACCATAGCTTTAAGCATTTCTATGTTGCTTTAAAACATATTCTTTCATGCCTCTTGTACAGGATTCTCCATATTTGGTGATAAATTGATAATGCTTAGCCCCATTTAAAGTTGTAATCAATAGTCTGTAAACTATCATTACTAATCTAACATATGCACATATTTAACAGAGAGAAAATTAAACAATTAAGCCAGACATAGAAAAAATACTATTTGTGTGGATACTGCATTACTTAAACATTGCTTTTTGCACAACCAAAATGACTTTTAAGTAATGAAATCATAATGCAATATAAAACATGGTCACCCTCATAAATATAGTGTCTTCATCCATTTTAGGCTGAAAATTACTGAGAACTCTGATGTCTTTATCCCATAATGGAGTAACTTTGAAAAACTGCAAAAATGCATTTCAGACAGCTTTTTGAAAGCAATGAAGCACTTATTAAATATAAGGCATCCTATTTATAAAAACACCAATCCAAAATTAAACTAGGATTAACTTTAGCTGAATATGTGTACTTTTGGCAGTATGAGTAGAACATACACAGCTTTTAATAGGGACAATAAAGCTCTAAAAACCAGCATCTTAAAGGTAGATATTTTTGTTAATTGTTATTTTCTATTTTTTTTTCCTTAGGAACCTTTACCAGTTTCCCTCAAACTAATATATATCAGTGTTTATTTGCAGATTTCTATGATTATTATTACTTGGAATGACATATATTTAATACTCACAGTACGATTTCCATATTGGCGGCTGGTAATCTTCTACATCTAGAAAAATAATAAAAGAATAAATCAGTCAAAAATCAGTTAAATAAAAACAGTCTGTCCAGATATAAAGGTAAGCATGTTCTAAGAGTATCCAGTACAGTTTACAAAGATAATTATCTATTTTGAATTTTTTTAAATTGATTTCCCAAAGAATAGCAAAGGCTAATAATTATTCATGCTCATTGGAACAATAATATTTTTCATATACTTTTTCTTGACTCAGTAAAATAAATAATCTAATTTTGATAATACAAATTAAGTGTGTTTTACATCAGGTATCACTATTAATAACTTTCAGATAAACATTTTAGCAGAATGTTATCATTTTGAAACAACAATTTTTTGGCTATAGATGTTAGCACTGCTGTCTCACAGCTCTTAAGGTCTTGGATTTAATTGCATTATTTCCTAAACAGAGCTTTCACCCGTGACTGAGTGGGACTTCAGTGAATGCTTTGCTTTCCTCCCACAGTACATAGACTAGGTTAAATGATGTCTCTGAATTGTCCCCTGCATGCATGGATATGTGCCCTGTATTGGATGGGATCTCAGGTGTTTCCTGTCATGTTTATCTGTTGATTTAGATTCTGGCTCACTGCAACTTTGTACACCCAGGTTATGCAAGATTTAGCTTCCACATATTCGACTTTATATATAAATGTCCTACGATTCCCATTATATTTACTTAGTAAGGAAGGGTTTATGTTACATGTGTAAAGAATAAGGAGATAAGGACTGCATCAGGTTTCTTCCAAGGATGAACAGCACAGAGTGAGAGTAATGTGGCCTCCACCAGGACACTGTTTTACACATCAGTCAATCAGTCACCTTTACTTGACTCTCAGCCAGTAAACTCTGTAGATCTTTTAAAGAGATTGTTGACCACTCAGTGGTTTCACTGGTTCTGATGTTGTTTTGATAAACTACCTTTTCTAGGTAGTGTCTGTTTGGCATGATGCAGCTTCCACTTCTTGATTATAGAGCCAACAGTGCTCACTGGGATACCCAAACCCTTATATTTTTCTACACAATATACATTTAAGTGTTTGGATATACTTTTGTACCCTGTTTCCTAATATATGCAAAATTATCACTTTATCTCATCCTTCAGTTTCACTGCCTGACCATTGATGCCTAAACACATTGATGTTTTTATCCAGTATATGTGCCAGTCACTTCATTGGCCCAGATAGAGACCAATTGTAAGACAATTATTGTATATCCTTGTTACGGCAATTTCTTTCACCTGTGTAAATTGAGAGCTACCAGTGCACAAGGCTCTGAATACTTACACAAGCAGCATAAACTGTTTTTGATGTTTGACAGAAAAAACCATGCGTAAGTATCATTTGTAATTCAGCAACATTTGAAAGATTTTTTTAAAGGGTAATTTTGCAAGGCACTGTATTATAACAAACCAGGGGGTTAAGATTATAATTGAGCGTTACATAAAATCTGTGTTTTTTTATTTTCAAGCACCACTCTGGTGATAGAGTAACAAATCAGGTTCAAACTTGAACAAGAATAAATATTTATTAACAATAAATAACACAGCTAGCCAGCAATTACAGTATGATGGATGTGTCATGACAGATATTTTTTAGCTTGAGGATTCTACAATATAGGAAAGTCCTAAATTAAGTCAGCAAGCTCTCTTATTGTAATGCTTGGATTATGTCACGACCACCAGGCAGTCAAGACCAAAGCGTAAGCGAGCTAATCAGACCCAGCACCGGGTGATTATTAACAAACGCCGCCGCACGAGTTAAACCACCTGCGCACACTCATTGCGGTGCGCACTGCTATTTAAACCATCTTCACCTGCTTCCCACTGCTCGGTATTGAGTCTACTC